AATCCTTTCTCCTTTCAACTGAACATTCTTGTTTTCTTCAACATTCGTAGAAAAAAAAATGTCTTTGTCTACTTGGAAAGGCTGTAGATGAATCTTTATTTTTAATGCCTGTACTAAGCATGCCTGGGAGTACACAAACGAACTTGCTTTAACACATACCACAACACACCTCCATTTAACCTTTTCTTTAAGCGTATTTTCATCCCCGTTAACATTTGCAGGAGTATTTTCCTTATGCATCTCAGCCCATGCCCCATTTCCTTGCTCTGTGACTCTACATTTTGATACCACCATCAGACTTTGATTTTCTTCTTCTTGTATCATAGTATTCCTTCCACTTGAACGAGCATCCTCCATTAATCCTCTAAACCCTTTCCATCCAATTGGGAGCCTTGGGAATAATGCAATCAAACCCTTCCTTTTACCATTATTCATCATTTGTGTAATCCTGGCAAACTCCCCAAACCTGCTATTTTCCAATTCCATCCACATACAATATTCATCCCTCCTGAACTCTCTAAAGGAAAATATCTTGTTGATTCCTGGATATAGCTTTAGAAAACATCTCCTTCAACCATCTCACACAACTTCTATTCACTAAGCATGAGAAATATCCAAAATTCCATTCTGTTATGCGAATAAGTTCACCATGCAAACCTTCAAACTTGACTTTAAAATGCTTATGATCAATCGTAATCTCCATCCTCTTTCTTTCTTGATTCTCACAATTTCAACAATGTTGGTTGTGGATTATAAAGGTTTTGGAAAGGGAAGTAAAGGAAGTACTATTTGGGGATGTGCTTTCTATGCAATAATTTGAGTGATTTGGTTGGGGAGAAATTCAAGAATCTTTGAAGATAAGTATGAAGAGTTTGATGGGGTTTGGAACCGAATTCACTCTTTTGCAACTCTTTTTTGTGCTTTGGTTTCAAAGGAATTTGCAAATATTTCGCCTTTTGAAATCTTGGTAAACTGGAAGGTGGCTTGTGATTGATTAGCTTGTTTTCTTGGTTTGGTTTTTTTTTTTACCTTTTTATGTACTACTTTTCGATGGTTTGTATTTAGGTTGGACTACTTACCCATCTCAGCTCTTCATTTTTTTACTTTTAATAAAATGGTGTTTTCTATAAAAATAAAGAGGAGGGGATTTTACATTTTTGCTTTGCTGATGATATAACAAAACTTCTCAAGATTTTCCATAACACAATCAATATTGCTCCAAGCCCCCACCAGCTCTAGTTGCAAACACAACAGTCCAACCCCTCAGCCAAACCACGTCAGCCTACTGCCTCCCCCTTCCTGGGGGTGGGCAACATATGAAACATAGCCTACCCCATGCAACCTTTACCCTCAAATTCACCATGTGCATGAATGTATCGGAACTTACCCTCAACGAACAGATGGGAGCAACATTGCTATAATGTCGTAGCAACGCACGTCACACACAGTAGGGTTCCATTCTGGTTTGTCTCTCTTCCTTGCTATATAATATACCATGCATGAATAGTCAGAAAGGTTGGAGATATGTGAATATGGAGAGAGAGAGACATGAATGAGTGGAAAGTTGAACAGTCGGAAACCTGGAGGTTACATGAGAAGTGGGAGTTATCAGTTAGTTTAAATATAGACTTGTCCTTATCTTGAGAAAAAAAACGATTAAATGACGTAAAAAAGAGTGGAAGGACCAATCATAAGAAGCCAAGTAATCATTTTCATGGCTAAAAAACTCAAAAATTTGGAATGAAAGATTAGAGACTTCTCAACACTACTACATTTAAATAGAATATAGAGATTCAGTTAATAGAAATCATGTTACTTACCGGGAAAAATATACTACATATCATTTTTACTTGCCAAAAGTTTACTTGTTATGTTTTGAAGTAAAATGTACTGTTTTCTTTTGCAGAACCATGCTGGGTATGTGGCAAAATATAGTTGCTAAAAGGGCTGCTCTTACTCCAAGCCAAACCAAGGACTTGGTGAAGAGCATGGTGGAAATCCCAGTGAGGAGAAAATTTTCTGTGTGAGCAATTGTTGTCGCCCTCGCACTCTTTGGACATGGATATGTTGGGGCACAACTCCTGCGATAATTTTTGTCTGGGCATTCTTCCCTTGCTTCTAAGGAGAGAATTTTGAATGGACTCGACTGGCTCAAAACTTGAAACAAGGATTCTGTGGAGCTTGCGTTACGTAAGGAAGTTGAAAAGCAAGTCAATGCTTGCACATTAACAGCTTTAGGTAAACTCAAAACTGAGATAAACACACTGAGAAGTGTGCTGATGGACAAGTCAACAGATCTGCTAGATGTGTACGAGGGAATGGCGAAACTTAGGAAGCAAATTCTGGATATGGAAGCTGAAGAGGATAAAAGCTGAAAATATCTTTGTTGTTTCTTTTGAACTACTATAATTTCAGTATAATGCAAACATGCTTTGGAAAATTCTCTCTTTTTGATATGTACTTTTGCTTAACTTGACTGCTTAGGAAAATTCTCTCTTTTTGATATGTACTTACTTATGACTGCTTAGGAAAATTCTCTTCATTCGATATGTACGTACTTATGACTGCTTATGTAATATTCTCTCTCCCCCTTTTTTGCTAAATTCTGTGTGTATTCATGAAGATCAGTTACAAAAATATTATAATTTGGGGTAACATTTTTTGGATGATCTAATGTGAATATGCCCAATTTGGGGTTGTAAGATACAAGAGCGTGGAATGCATAGGACTGCTTTGATCGTGGTAATTGTGTTTCTATACAACAAAACTACATTATTTATTAAACTCCTACCGTAGAGGTGGGTCTGGTGACAAACCACTTCGACACAGAGACATGGGGAGCCAGACATCTGTTTGTCTCCAACCGCTCTCTAACGCTGTCAATGTAATGAGAAGTTCAAGGGGGATAAATCAGAAAATAATGTTGGAATTAATCAAAAGCATTACAAAACATGTTTTTCATATGCCCATTCACTTCGGTGCACACAATTTGCTACAATTCTGACTTACGCTTAAATGGACATCCACATGACTATTACTTCACTGAAACATCATACATAGCATGAGAAATTGAACTATGTAAACATAACTCAAATTGGAAAGTGAAGATACCACTATTTCCTCTAGAAAGAATGCTTGCTCTTGGTGAAACCATGTAAAAAAATAAGTTGTAGCATCCTGTCTGATATTGGACCAACATATCAGACAGGATGCCACACATTTTGAAACTAGGATGACAATTGTATTCGTTTTATCCGTATAACCTGTGAATAAAAAATTTAACGTTTATTTTTATATCTTAAATTTCATTATCTTTTAATCGTGCCTATGCTTATATTTTTTTAATAAATTAAAAATTAACTTAATAAATATAATAATAAAAATATCTTTTTTTGCATGAAAATTAGTTCACTACTTGATAAAATATATATAAAAAATGTATTTTATTCTTATAATAATACTTAAACATGTTAATCGTGTCAGTTTCGCATTATTCGTATTTGACATTATTCAAACCCATTTAATATTTGCGTTAACGGGTTGTGTCATATGTGGGTTCGTATCGAGAAATGATCAATCTTAACCTACTAATTTCATGTCGATTTCAAGTCATGTTTTCATGGTTGTGTTAAAATTTACCATTGTTATTTGAAACACAGCCATATTTCTTATTGCAGCAAATTCTTCACCGGCTTCCTTCTCCATGTTAAAAGTTCTTGCCATGGTTTCATATGCCCGATACACATTTGAAAGCCTTTCCGTCTCTTATTACTTGGGGTTGAGATAACAATAGGTGAAGGCTTAGCAATTTGTGGCTGGTTTGTGGTTCTCAAACACTCAAAATAAGAATAAATAAAGACATCGTGAATAGAGGATGATGATGCACAAAACTGTCTCGTGCAAGATCAACAGTCGAGTGTGTGATAAGGTGTAGTTAATGGATAATTAATAAAGTAATCAATGCAAAAAGGTAAATATCGAGTCAACACACAGATATATAGTGGTTCGATCCGGATAACTTATTCCACTCCGAGAAACGGCTACGGTGGCTGGTGAACCTTTATTGATGGAATAAAGTAAAAGAGAGGGAGAGACAAGGCTAGTTCCAGGAGTGGCTCAATAACTAGCAGAGAGAAAGTGTGTAGAGAGGTGTGGTGAGATCACTATCGACAAGTAAGGCAGTTAAGGGGATCGTAGACAGAATCAAGTGCTTAGGCTAATTCGGTGAAGCCTTGGGCAACACCTCAACATATCCAAGCGAAGCCCGAGGCGACGCTCAAGGATCCTTATGGCAATGCTAGAGGAGGCAAGCTAAGGAGCGCCAGAGGAGGGAACAAAGGTTACGCCTAGCGTGCCCTAGGCAACGCCCATGGGGATGGAGAGGCTGGCGGTGCCCATGGCACGTTTGGAGGCTACTTGGGGAAAGGAGGTGAAGAGCACGTGGGAGGTGGTGACGCTGACTAGGCGCTAGGTAGGGCGACACCAATCACAGACGACGACGAAAATGGTTGGCAGGCGACGCTCATGGCGTAGAAGGGTCTGTTGGCAACGCCTTGCAGGCGCAGGGACATAAACGACAGTGGATTGGGCGACGCCCCTAGGTAGCTAGGTGGCACTTGAGGTGTTGGGCAGCTGCTGGAGTGAGGTGGGACAAGAGCGAGCTAGGGCGGCACCCAGGAGGCTGCTGGGCGATGCCAGGAGCAATGTCAGGCTAGGCGACGCCTTGCAGGCGCTGGGCGTTGGTTGGAGTATTAGAAAACTATGAAAAAGGGCAAAACTTTGCATGGCCGTAACTTTGCGCTCGGTTATCCATTTGAGGCGAATTTTTTGTTGAATCTAGGTATTTTTTTGAGATCTATGACATGTTAATTGCCAAAGGCAATTTGGTCAAAAAAATTTCTCAAAAAATGCTCCTATCTCTTTGAATTTGAGTTTTAAGCATAAATTAGTAAAACCGACAGTGGTGGAAAGTTGCGTTATGGCAGACAACTGTCAGGCATTCATGGGCGACAGATTGGCATTCTAGATTTTTACCAAGTAGAGATACTATGATGGCTTTTGATAGGGTAAGAGGCAAACCCGCTTTCTCCAATCCTGCTTTTTTCTTTATGTTTTCTCGATGTTGGTTTATTATATTAACCTTGTCTTTAATTACAGGCGCCCTGTTGATAGGGTGATGGTGGAGGTTTTCTACATTTTTAGGGTGGTGTCTTCCCCTCCTCCCACGAGGGTGAGGTTTGATGCCTCCAGTGTTTCTCAGTCAAGGTTCGATGGCTAGGTTGCTTCCCGAGGGGTGGGACTCGGTGTTGCCCCCACCCACTCCTTCTTAGATTGTGACTCCTGTGTGTACTAGGCTAGCCCTTGTACCATTGTAAGAGTTGAGACTTCAATGCGGTTTCTATAGGGATTGTAGCTCCATATAGTTGTTCTGCTTCTAG